TAATATAAATTTAAATTTTAGTAGAAAAACAAATTATGTAATATTTTGAAGTAAATTGGCTACTATTTACAAATTTTTACTTCTTAATTCTTTGATTCTAAATTTAATTTGTCTGAAAAAAAAAACAATGTAATTTTTCAAAAAACGTACTTTATATTTTATTTCCACTTAGAAATTTACTATTTTGAATGATTTTAATTCGATCACAGATAATTAATTTCCTTAGGATATTGATAGTAATTAATAAAAAATCCTAATGGATTTGTAAGTGCTTTTACAAAATACGCAGAATTCGTATGACTACTAATAATTGGCCTCTGACCGCCAATAATGTAATAGACAACTCATTTTTTGTGGTGAATCGATTTGATCGTCGAATCGATTTGATCGTCGTTACTATTGTTTTGTAGTTTTTTATACAACTTTCTTGTAGACATTTTTATAGTACTTTTTATTCTATTCTGTCTTCTGTAACTTTGTAGATAGCGACTTCTTTTCTGTTAATTTAATTGCATGCAAATTTAATTTAAACTTAGTGAGAACTTTTACAAGTTTGTACAATTGATTTTCATTTAGAAATAATAGGGTTTTATAACAAATTGGGTAACTATTTAAAAATATAAGACGAAACTATCACCATTTCATTAAGAACAATTGATAACAAACATATTATCGGTATTAGAGTTACATTGACTTTTTTGAACAGACGGCATAACAAATTCAGCATGAAATATCAAAAAAGCTGCCAAGAACAGAATGGAGGTAATAAATATTCCCGCCCTTTTGTTTTGTACATCATGTGAATTCGTCATATTCATATCAATTCATTATAATATAAAATGCAAAAAGGCACTTGACATGATCACTCATGAGCACATTATTGCCATCCATTTTTTATAAAAAATAGGCAAACATTTTTGACTTTATACTTTAACATATTTGATTGGTTACTTTCTTCGAGGAATATATATAACATACTTTTTTAAAATTGTTTAAATAATTTCTTCCATTTTAATCTAAGTTCTAGAACGTATTTTCATATTATTTTACATATCAATTTTGTAAATAAGACATTAAATAATTTCTTCCATTTCAATCTAAGTTCTAGAACGTATTTTCATATTATTTTACATATCAATTTTGTAAATAAGACATTAAGTCTTAATTAACAAAAATTAATTATAACAAAAAAAAAGAAAAAAAATTACTGGACATAAAGACAGACATCTTCATGATATTGAGCTTTTGTACCGGATGGTTGCTATTGCTATCCTATAGAGGAGGTAGCACAGGATTTGGCTTGAAAGTTTATTTTCATTTTCATAACTAAAGTCCATGTCGTGACATGTATAATAAATATATAAAATCTTCAATCAAGTAATACTTAGTGACAAATCATTATTGCAATAACAACTATCAACAAATACATAAAGTATACCAATGAATCAGTGTTTTATACAGTCCACAGTGAAAAAAATTAAATTATATTGATCCGGCTCGAAGGACCAAATATTTGTATAAATACTTGTTATTGGAATGACTTTAGGTTTGAGTAGGACCTAAATTCGGCAAATTCCGCAAATCTTTGATTTCACTGGGACAAAAATACACCGAAGAACACAATCCGCGTGAATAATTTTTATTCAAAAATTTCTATGTTTATCTTTTTTTGGAATCCATCTATTGCGTTCGGTTAAAGCTGATTAAAACTTAATTGTACCAAATTTGTGCCAGTTGACTTAAGCACGGTGCACACGACGCCAGTATTTCTTGTGACATATTTTCTTTCAAGTTTTTATCGTAAAGTGATCGTGTTCAAAGAAACTATTTTATTAGAATGTATACATTGAACTTATATAAGTATAATTCTATGTAATGCACTTGTATCATATTTATAAGAATCACATAAAATAATAATAATAAAATGCTAGAATCATATTTTATTCGAAATAAAAAAAATTGCCCTTTTAGAACACTTTTCACGAAAAAAATTTGATCGTTAAATGGGTAAATCCGCTCACCTTACGATAAAAGCTTGGCAGAAAATATGTTGTAAGAAATACTAGCTCTGTGTGCTCCGGGCTTTAAATAATGTGTTTTTTCGAAATATGTCCTGTTCAACTTAACTCATCTATCATTTCCCTGATATGTGATTAAATCAATGCATTTATTACACACAAATTGGACAAATGTATTAAAAACAAACTTTATTATTCTGCATTCCATAAAATCAGTTCAATTAAATTTTTCATTGGAACAAGCAATTTAATTCAGAACATAAATTTTATATCACTCACTATTAAATTTATTATTTTCTCGTTTCTACATCTATCGCTTGATGTTTGCACTAAATTTCATAACTTCTCTGCAAAAATTTCTTATTGTAGAATGTGATATTTTTTGCATGCATATATATATATATATATATATATATATATATACATACATAATATTTAATAGCCTATTGATTATAGAATACCTATAATAGATTTAGAAATTATAAAAAAGCATGATAATGTCCTATATCAGTCAGGATTGTGCAATAGTTTAAAGTAGCTATTTATAATTATATATTAAATAGAATAATTTTATCTGAAGATTAGAATCTAGAATGATTTTATTTTAAATGTTAATATTGTAACAATAATATATAATTCTTATTTTGCTTTAAAGCAAGATGAATGATCCCGATATTTATAAATAATGGCCTGAATTAAGATTTAGCTACTCTCAAAATTGTGACGACACTATTTTGAAATTTCAACGGTAGTCATTATTCTAAATTTAATGAATTTTAATAATTAAACTGCTTTAAGTAGGCCCATGACATTTTGGGATATTTGCTAAGATTATGACCTCTATTATGATACAAAGTTCCATTTTTAAAGTTTTCTAACATAACAGTGTGAATATTTTTTAAAAAAAATGTGTATTCTTGTTCATTAAATAAATACATTAATCTAACCTTCCTTTCAACAAGATAATAACTCTATAAAAATAGCTTTTATAATTCATATAATTTGCAAATAAATATACATAGCAGTAAATTATATTAGAATTTATTCCCTCATGACATTGTCACGCCCAGTGATAAATTATTTTTATTAGGAATGAAAATAATGACATGACATATCTGCAATATGCAAATTTGAAATATACCATAGCATAAGTTTGGATGCTATTTTATAAAATAACTAATTTTATGCATAGTCCACATATTACCAATATAACTGAAATGCCATGTCAATCAGAACAAAAGTTTAGATTAAAAAACTAATCCGACGTTTTTAATTATAAACTACGGTAAATAAAATCCACAATGTGGGCATAGAAGAGGAAATTAACGTGACTTTTGCCCATGGGAATTGAAAATATAAACTAGTGGAGTGGCATGGTATCGTGACTGAAGGCAAATTGCTGAAATTTCCCGTACCGAAAACAAAATTATTAAAAAACAACTTTGCAAAACTTCGGGAAAATTGGATTTTTGAGAAATTTTGAAATTTTTGAAAAATTTAATGTTTTTATATCTTGATTTTTTTGTATTATGATTTTTTTTTAAATTTCAAACATTTATGTTAAGCAATCGCTCTGCATAGCTGATTTGGAGTCGAAATATCAATGCGCGTAAGCGCCGCGTAGTCGTCTAACGCGTAAACATTGGTACGGAACCCATATAAATGTACACAAATTTTGTACTTATTATTGTAATCTTATTAACATAAGTACATATGTCTAATGTTTATTTTTCACCGCCAAATGGCATTATTTTTTATTTTTCTTATTGAATCTCCGGAGACGCTGGATCTGCCTTTACAAAAATTTCACCAATTGTTCATTTCGTCAGCATAAGTCAAATGTGTTTTGAATTATTTAAATCGGACGCCTCGTTCTCTTAAAAATTGCATTGAACCATTTTTGGACCTTTTTGCCTTGTGTCTTTGAAACGGCTGGACCTGAATTTGTCAAGAACAGATTGGCATGTCTCCACATTAATACGAGTCGAATGTTTTTTGAATTATTGAAATCGGTTGATCTGTGTTCCTGAAATCGTTGACGAAAATTTGTATCCGCACACACACACACATACACATACACACACACACGTATATCCATTTTTTCTAAGGTATGCCAAAATGTTCAGAAACTTCCGAAATGTGAAAAGATACAAAAAATGTCATTTACGATTATTTTTGTTTTACTAAAAGTTTATACATTTTAATGAAGATGACAACAATATGACAATAATGTTTGAACTAAACATCAAGCAAAGGTATGTGCTAATTAATATTTAAAATTTTGATATATGTGCTGATTAATTTTGGGCAAAAGTCGGTCCAGCCGTCTAGGAGTTTACAGAGCAAAGAGTGCAGAAAATAGAAATCGAGATTTTGAGAGAACGGAGAATCCGATTTGAATGATCCAAAAAACATTCAATTCATAACGATGGGGAGAAGTGGTTATTAGTTTTTGGCAAAGGCAGGTCCAGTCGTTTTGGAGATACGGAACAAAATATGAAATAAATTGCAGTTTTAGAGAAAAAAGCATCCGATTTGAATGATTCAAAAAACTTTCTGCTTGTATTGACGAAACGATTGTTTTTGGGAAAAGAAAAAAAAACTTTTTTTTATTATGGAAAATAATTTAGATTTTTAAAATGTTAATACAAAACGAGAAGTTCCAGCAATTTGCCTTGAGGCACAGTGCCATGCACCGCTACTTTTTTAATTTTTTACAGGACAGTTAAAGTCAATATTTTAACGCGTTTTGACTTGACGTTTAGTTCTGGGATACCCTGTATTCAAATTCCTTAGCTAAGCATAATTGATTTTACTAAATTGTTCGTTTAATCCTGCATGCAATGCCATTGCTTCCTTACATATCATATAGCGCCTCAAATATGTGTGCATAAATTCGTTAAAAACAAGATCATTTCATATTAAATTTGTCCATTTTTATATCAATTTTAAATTAATTGTGAAATTAAAATTGTGTTTCAGCAGGACCCAATCAAGGAGGCCAACAACGAGGCGCCAATGTAACGAGCGCTGAAGTTTCCTTATTCGAACCATGAGAGGAAAATGAGATATCAAATAAAGGAAAATTATTAAAACAATAAAAACATTCACAATTACAACTAATTCTGAAAGTTTTCAGAAAATTCAGGAACACTAAATATTATTTATAAATATTCAAATAAAGGTAAAATGCCTGAAGGTACGTATCCAAGAAGAAACTTTATCCAAACAAATACAGCTCAATAGCAGCTGTGAAAGAAGAAAGAATTTTTTTCAAGTAAATTGAATGAGTAAGAAGTTATAATCATAAAAGGGTTTTTCATAAGCATTTTAAATATACTAAAAATTTTATCATTTTGATTATTTTCACCATCAGCATTCATTATTGATTTGAATTAAAATTATCAATGAAAGGTGTATTCTAAATCTATATTTTCGTATCGTTGTGAAAATTTGCCTTTATTATCGTAAAGACTTGTCGAAATGCTTTTTGAATACGAAAACCCTAAGAATAGACATATATTTTAATTTTTATGTTTATTTTAAAATTTAAATGACAAATGGTGTTACTTAAGACACGTAGCGAATAATAAAAATTATTAAAAATGTAATGATAGCATATATGACTAAAGGATATATATATATATATATACATATATATACATATATAATATATATATGTCCATTATCAGTTTTTTCGCATTGAAAATTAGTAAGTTAATATAATTAAGGAACGAGACCACTGAATGATTCGGTAGAAAATGTAGTTGAAAAAACTGCGATTGCATTTCAACAAAAATTATAAAAATAAAAAATTATTACTAAATATAATATAGAAATAATAATATCGATAATAGATGTCGAATTTAAAACACGCTGCATTCTCGGCTTGCTATGAATTTCACCAAAAATATTATATTATATTAGATATGATAAAAACGTAAAAAACATCTTTTGAATATATAATAAGTAGTTGTTGAAAAACTAATTCTATATATAATGGAAAATTTAAGAAAATTTAGAAAGATTTGCACTGGAGATAAATATAATTTATATGTGAAATGGAATAAATATCCAGCAAAAATAGATTTTAAAATAATTAATTATCAAAATGATTGAAGTATTTAAATTATTTCTGAAATAATCTTAGTATTCAGATTATTTCCTTAAAAATATCCAAGTATTCAGAATATTTTTAGAAAGATCCAAATATTCTGATTATTTTTAGAATGATCTAAGTATTCTGATTATTTTTAGAATAATCCAAGTATTCTGATTATTTTTTAGAATGATCCAAGTATTTAGATTATTTCTGGAAGAATCCAGGTATTTAGATTATTTTTAGAAAAAGTTCTAAGTATTCAGTATAATTTTAGAATGATTGAAGTATTTAGATTATTTCTGGAAAGATCTTATTCAGATTATTTCCTTAAAAATATCCAAGCATTCAGAATTTTTTTAGAAAGATCCAACTACTCTGGATTACTGCGATAAATATCCAGAAAATAGACTCTAGAAAAATTAATTATTAAAAATTCAAATCAAAATATTCATTTCTTATAAAATCGACTGCAGGTTCGGACAAACGGATTGTGTTTTGATATTTTTTTTTACTTATTTATTTTTGCAGATATTACTAAGTTAACATAGAATATCAAGTTTAGTCAAATTTGATAATCTAGATATACTGATAATCAACATTTAAAAAAAAATTGTTTTACTAAGAACAATTCATAAAGAACTATCTAATCAAGTTACCAAACAAATATATCAGGAGATCTAGGCCTTTATTCTCAACATTTTAAATAATTACAGAATTTATTTTATTAGTTGAATTTGATAATCTAGATAAATTGGTACTCAACATTTTTCAGAAAAAAATTGTTTTGCTAATAACAATTCAAAATTTATAACTATCTAATTAAGTTACCGTAATTTTTGTTAGGTAAACTAGGTTTTGATTTTTCCAACATTTTTTCAAAAAAAATATTTGTTTTTCTAAAAATAATTCACCTAGAATTCAAAATTCAGAACTAGTTAATTAAATTACCAAACAAATATACCAGGTAATCTAGATCTTGATTCTCAGCATTTTTCTTGAAAAAAAGTTGTTTTTCTCAAAATAAATTAATAATAATTCAAAATCCAGAACTATCTAAATAAGTTACGAAACAAATATACCAACAATTGAAACTAAATAGAACTTTTGAACTGTCCTGATTATGAAAAAAAATAAAAAATATTACCCATAGTTTTTCAGAAAGTTTTCAATTCAAATTATCATTTCTAATAAATTTTGTTCATTTAATGTGATTTTTGTGTCTTTTAGAAAATTTATACGAATTTTTTATCAATATCTTTTGTTAGTTTTTACATTTTTCTGAGTAGAAATTATTAATTAATTAATCTTGGCGCAATATTGTTTTTTATGTGGGCCCTATATAGTTTATCAATATTGCCCTGATAATATTTTTCCATATAAAACCAATATTGAAATCAATATGGACTCTATATGAGCTTAATATTATTAAACAATATTAAAAACCCATTTAAGACCAATATTGGCTGAATATAAATAAACAATAATTACCCTACATTAAAAACCAAAATAAATGAACAATACTTGATACAATACAATTGTATTGGTTTGTCTTACTTTTTACTGTTTGTTGATAAGTTTCTTCAAATATTTTAATATTTAGTATATTATTTCTTATATTCTATTATTATCAAATGAAGAAGCGTCAAGCGTTTGATTTAATTTTTTTGCAGAAATAACTTCTGTAGAGAACAATTTAAGGTCTATGGATGCAATTCTATTTTTAAAAAAGTACAGTTAATGAGACTTTACACTATCATGAGCCATTTATTATTGTGCAAAACTTTCTAAATTTTTCAAAAAATAATACTCAAAGTTTCACTGCATTTTCTATACCTTCACAATTACTTTAGGGGACCAGCCTAATGCTAAATTTGATAATTATATGCTATGCTATATTTATTATATAAATAAAGAAAAAAATATATACACTTATACAAGAATATTAGAATAATTAATATTGATAATTTAATCATTTAATTTAATCATCTATATAGATAATAATCATAATATTATTAAGATTATTACGTGTGTCATGGATTTTTGGTTTAGAAGTTTTATGTGGATTTTACTTGCTTTTAAAATTAATGCAATCAAGCATAAACTGTGAGCAAAGAACTCGATATAATAAAAAATATATTATTAAAAAATATAAATAAATATAACTTGAAATTATATAACTATATACATATATATTGTAGATGATAGATTTAAAAGTATAGAGACATAGAAGTATATATACAGATAAGAAACTTAAGTAATTTTTGAAGCGATGTTCATAGAGGTCGTAAGGAGTAGGCAATTAGAATAAGTTAGAACATAGATTCCTTCAATTTTTTTTTCTTGTAAATTTATTTCAAACTTAATACTTTATGTTATACTATAATATTAAAAAATATATTGTAATAATGTTATGAATTTATCTTCGGGCTTAGCTTTGACACAACATTGGCACTTTACACAAGTTTTGTTAAACACCATTTCAAAACTTAAAATTTTAGTACTAGTAGATATGGAGAGATTTAGTGATATATTTACATATGAATTGCGTTAATATAGGATAATCAGTTATGAATAATTTAAATGTTCAACACATCTTAGCATCTTCTTTTATCAATCGGTTTGTTTCATGTTTTTGGTTTAATGACTAATTAGTATTCATTCTATTTGATACTATCTCAAATTTAACCAGTGGATGATCATTAAAAACATTAAATGATATTTAATTAAATTCTTTAACAGAATCTTTACACTTTCTAAGTGAATATTGGACCTTTTCTATCATAACTAATGATTTTTTTTTCAAAAACTGTTCAAGGTCTAATCTAAGTATAATTCAGACCCATAAATATAGACAATGCAGATTATTTTTGAAATGATCCAAATATTTAGTATACTTTTAGAAAGATCCAAATATTCTGATTATTTTTCAAAAGATCAATGTATTCAGATTATTTTTAGAAAAAACCAAGAAATCAGAATATTTTTAGAAATATTCAAATATTCTAATGTTTTTTATAATGATCAAAGTATTTAGATTATTTCTGGAAAGATTCAAGTATTTAAATAATTTCTGGAAAAATCCAAGTATTTAGATTATTTTTAGAAAGATCAAAATATTCCAATTAATTTTAGATTATTTTTATAATGATCCAAGTATTCAGATTATTTTTTTAGAAATATGCAAGTATTCAGAATATCTTTAGAAAGATCTAAATATTCCGATTATTTTTCCAAGAATTAAATTTTTTCAATAATCCAAGAAGAGCTTCAAGAGATTATTGCTGGAAAGATGATTCAAATAGTTTCTAGAAATATACAAGTATTTAGATTATTTTTAGATAGACCCAAGTATTCAGTACTTTGGAATGATCTACGTATTCAAATTATTTCTGGAATATCCAAGTAGTCAGAATATTTTTAGAAAGATCCAAATATTCTGATTATTTTTAAAATGATCCAAGTATTTATGATTATTTCTGGGATAATGCAAGTATTCAGATCATTTTTGGGCTGATCTGGATTTATAAGAATCTAAGTATTCAGTATAATTTTAGAATGATTCAAGTATTTAGATTATTTTCTTAGAAAGATCCAAATAATAGGAATATTTTTTTTCTTTATCAGAAAATTCAAATATTCTGATTATTTTTAGAGGGATATAAGTATTTAGAATATTTTTGGAAAAATCCAAGTACTCTGACTATTTCTAGAAAGATCCTAATATTTAGATTATTTTTAGAAAAATCGAAGTATTCACATAATTTCTAGAAGAATCCAAGAATTTAGATTATTTTCAGAAACATCCAAGTATTTAGTATAATTTTAGAATAATCCATGTATTCAAATTATTTCTGGAATGATCTCTGTATTCAGATTATTTCCTTGGTAAGATCCAAGTATTCAGAATATTTTTAGAAAGATAGATTTTTAGTCGAAAGACCCAAGTACTCGGAT